TGTACAGTAAGATTTAACTACTGCCTAAATATTTCTCTGCATTCATTACATTCATGGGTTTTTCCCTGTGTATGTTCTCTGATGGTGGACGGAGTCTGACTTATCCCTGAGACCTTTACTACACTTAGTATATTCATATGGTTTCTCTCCTTCAGAAATACTCTTCTATGTAATAAGGCTTTTCCAGATTCGCTTAGATGCAAAAAGTTTAATTTTTGATGATTTTCATTTGACCAAAATCTTTGTCATTTTGATTCTTGTCAGAGTCTTTAATTGTAGAAAGTGTCCTCTCTTGCTTGTTATCATGAAGAGTTTTGGCACATTCATTGCTGTCACTGGCAGATCTTTCTGTACAGTTTTCCTTTCCAAAAATTACTCCCAGAAATGGTTTCAAACTTTGCCCCTGTGAGTCATTTTCACGGTAAATTTTACTTGCAGGAACAAGAGTTGAACTAAGAGCAAATATTTCTCAAGTCCATCACCTCTCTCTCTAAGCAGTACTTTGTTTGGCAGCAATATAATTCCCTGCAATGCTCTTAAGTTCATGCATGGTACAAAACACCTGAAATGAATCCAGGACGTGGCAGGGGCCAGGTCAGACTTCCTAGAGCTGCCTGGAGTCAACCTGGAAGCCGAGAGCTCACCCAGCTGTGTCCTGGGCCTAGGCCACCAGGGGGCGCTATGTCCAACCAATCCTACCTGTCTCCGACGGGAGCTCAGGAAGCAGCCCTCTTCTCACACCATCCAAGGTGAGTCTAACGCAGCCTCCCCATCCACCCCATCCCTTCCCCACCACACACAACCCTAGTCTGAAGACCAGCTGACCAGACTGTCTGCCCACCCTCTTTCCCTCTGTGGGTTGTATCAATGTCCCTGCAGACTAAAACAATCCCCTCCTCCTTTCCACTCTCACCTCCCCTCCTGTGGTTCCTCCAAGCCCATCCTTCTTCCTGAGGACCCTGGGATCATTCCAGAGTTTTGAAAACCTTTACCACTCCTAATCTACCTCATTTGAGTCTCACAACTGCATTGCCTATGGCCAGGGGCAGGGATCATAGTCTTCTTGGCAGAAGAGGAAACTGAGGCACGGAAAGAGAGAATGAGTGAGCGAGAGGATGTGCAGCAAGGCAGTGATGGTGCTGGGGAGAGAACCAGGCTCCTGGTGAGCGAATCATTGCAGGGCGTGCCTGAACTCCAGCCTACTGCTGGGTAGGGGACCCTTCCCACCAACCCTCTTGCTGGGGCCACTGGCTTTGAGAGAACCTTCATGAACAGGGCTCACGTCCAAACAGGTCAAGAGAACTGCTCTCCTACCACTGATTTGCTGTGTGTGTGACCTTGGGCAAGTCCTTTCACTAAGCCACTGTGGAGCGAGGAGATGGTACCTGGGCCCATTCTGAGATACTCTATGACTACGTAACTGGGGCCTGAATCATCTCTACCCCTTTGGGGCTCCAGGGGTTCTCCATCAAAATGCAACAGGGCTCTCAACAGAGCTAACAGTACTGCACATGATAACAGTAATGATACACATCTCCATTGTTCAACTGCAGCTGACTTTCCATAAGCTTCACATTTAATGTAATGCTCACCACACCCCTGGAGCTAGGCACTCCTATTATCCCCATTTTACAGATGAGGAAACTGAGACTCAGAGAAGTGAAGAAAGCAGCTGAGCTAGGATTGGAGTCCAGGGGTCTCCACCTCAGAGGGCAGGCTCTTGTTTCTACTGTAAGCTGCCCAGAGAAGTTTCTGGAAGTCTGCTTTAGAAACTCAAACTCCACTGCAAAAGGTCTGCGGTCTTTGAACCCCTCTCCAGAACTGAAGCCCCTCAGTTGCCCAAGAGGTACCAAGGGAACTGCAAGGCAGAGGGAGGATATGGACTGGCAGGATGACGTCCCCAGCCTCCCCCCACCTCCTTCAGCCAGCCCCTCGTCCTGGGCCCACCAGCAGACACCGTAGCCCAGCCACGGCCCGTGAGCAGATGCAGGTTTATTATTGCACAGACTGGAGCATCCTGAACCCTCACCCCAAACGTCAGCCCCAAACCTAGGCCTGGGAGCCCTGGCAGCCAAAGGCTTGTCCCCAGCACTGGACCAGGCCAAAAAACCAGGACAATAATCTCCCAGCCAAGGCCTGAGGCCTGTCAGCACCAAGCAGTGCTCCCCCCACCCGACCCCCCCATTCCCTAGGAGTCCAGAGAAACCCAAACACAGATGCAGAGCCCTGGGCCTTGGGGGCTGGGCGCAGTTCTTCTCCATAGAGATGCAGTCCTAGATTCCAGCCAAACCGTGAGGCCCCAGCAGTGCTTGAAGAAGCAAGTGTGAAGCTGGAGGAGAAGGTTCCCCAGTATTGCCTGGGGCAAGGGAAAGCTGGCTCCATCAGAAGCAAACTTCCAGGTCCCAGAGCAGCCTGGGGAGGCCGGGCCACAACGCCAAAGCCCCAAGGTCCAGAGGCAGGACAGCAGCAGTTCCCCCCAGCTCTGCTTGGTGCCATCACATCCTTTCTCAGGCTTAGAGGGGCTTGGGAGCCCTGTCCCTCCCTCCTACTGGAAGCAGGGAAACATGGCCCTTGGCCCACACCCCAATCCCAGCAAGCACAAAGGCCAGGAGCCAACGTGGTACAAAACATCTTTAAGTGAGGTACATGCAAGCATTGTCTTCTGCCAAGCAAGCCGAAGGGGAGCCCTCCACTTGCTCCCCTCTTCCTGGGAAATGCTTCTTGACAAGCAGCCTGTCTCCAGCACCTGCCTGAGGGTCTGCCCCAGGGAAACCTCCCTGGGCTTCCATGCCATGCTCCCTTGAGCTTGCAGTGGGCCCTGGTGGGGCAAGGGGACAAACCAATTCACAGGGCAACATGGCAGCTATATCCTGCCAGCCCCAGAGCTCCTGCATGTGACCCGTTAGCACCCCAAGCACACTGGAAACCCCAAATGCAACCCCAGCCTCCGGCTCAGACATACTGAAAAACAGGGGCCGGCATAACTGCCCCTTAACCCCTCTTCCCACTCCCACCCCTGGCCACTGGGCTAGTGGCTTCCCAGCCAGAGACTCCATCATCTTCCCTCTTCTATTGGTCCAGAGGGGAAATTAACTGGACTGGTGGGAGGAGACAGAGCACTGTATTCTGGGATATTCAGACTGAGCTTGTCCATTTCCTCTGTCGTCCAGAACATCTGTAAGCAAGGGAGGGCCTGTGCGCTGGGTCCAGAATGCACGAGAAAGGGCCTCGGCACCGGTCTGAGGGGGTCTTCTGTGCCCACCACAAGGGATTTCAGCACCCCCCGACCCACCAGCTACCCTGGAAGGCCTCAACCCACAGCCAGAGGGCCAAACTGAAGTGGGGGTGGGGTAGGAGGGAAGGGGACCGGATTTAATATTAATACCCTGGTTGGGTGACTTTTCCCAAAACACACAAAAGCCCAGGGAGGGGGTGACCTAGGAGAAAGGTGGGGGAGTGGATGAGGATGAGGGACAGGAGCAGATCAGGAAGCTCAAGGGACCCCAGCTCTTCCCTTGGGGCTTCCCTTGTCCTGAGCGGAAAGCTCCCGGAGGTTCCCAGCTCATTCTATCCCTCTGGGCAACACCAGCCACCCAGCGCAGGCGCCGCAGGAGGCTCCTTAAACGTCTGTGGTGTGAATACGAGCTGGACTCCCAGGCTCCAGGTCCAGAGTCCAGTCCTCCTTGGCCACCCTGCCTGGCATTGCAGAAAGATAGGTCCTCGTGTCCTCAGCAGGAACTCCTGGCTCTGCAAAGAGACAGCGGCACGGTCAGGTGAAGGAGAGAGGAAGGTACCCTGAGACTGAGTCACCTAACTCAGGCTTGATCTTCGCTGTGGCAAGATCCCACCTCTGCATCCCCCAGGACAGCCTCGGCCCTTGGCCCGAACACTCTGCGGAATTGGAAGCAAATCCTCAAGGGCTCCCCTATCCCTGGATGCCTGCTTCTGTTCATGCACACATGCTGTTCCCTGTGCTGGTCACGCTCCCTTCCTTCCTCCTCCCCCAGTGTCATCGGGTTCCTTCACCCTCCAGGTCATCGAAGTGATCAGTGCCTGCAGGACGCATTCCCAGGTCCCCTAGGAAACATGGAACCCACGGAGCCCAGCGTTCACCCCCAGGGCAGCACCTACCAGGCTAATTGTCATTGGCTATTTACATGGTGACAACATAGACTCTCTTGGGACTCAATAAGAACCTCCAGCCCACCTAAGCTAGGATCAACAAAGGAGGTCCTTGGTGGGGGGCTGGGCAAGAGGCAGAAAGTCTGTTAGCTTCCCCACACACGGGATTTATGCTGTAAAGGTTGGTCTGAGTAGGAGAAAGATTTTGTCCTGTAGATACACCATCCTGAGACCAATGAGGGTCACTCTCCTTCAGCTCAGCCCAGCCCACCGTTCTCACAGGACCTTACACAGCCCCTCAGCGCCACCCACGGTGGGGAGAAAACTGAGATGGAGCCAATTGACAGAGGAAGGGGTGGGGCTTAGGGGGCAGAGGGTTAAGGACTGAGGAGGGGGAAGAGAGAAAGGGAGGGCAGAGAGTCCCACCATCCCAGGGGAACTCAGTCCAGATGTGGGGGCCTGCAAACATTTGCTTACTGTTTGAACTGCAAGACTTTCACGTAATGAGCTGTGAATTACGGGTTTGCTCTCATCGTGTTCACCCCGCTCTTAGAGCAGGAGGGAGTCCCTGATTATCCTAGCTCCCAGCAGGGCAGCTGCTCAGAACATGTTGCTCAAACGAATGAATGAGCAAGTGAATGAAGGTCCAGTGCTTACCTGACATGCAGCGGGGACCCTGCAAATGCTGAGCTAATGAGGCGTGTGTGGTGGGGGGGGCCTGATCTGTCAAACCCACACTCTGGGTCCCTGCTTCTGCTGGGCAATGGGCCTCAAGTCACAGGACTGCCATCCAATACCAAGTAGGCCCCCTGTCCCCCGACACTGGAGCCCAGAACCCCCGCCCCTTCCTCCAGCCGGCTGCACCTGGCAGATGAGGGTCAGGTCAGGAGGTGCACGAAGAGGATGGCCAGGCCGATGTTAAGCAGGATCACCATGCAGATGAGGACCGTGTTGGGGACCTGGGAGCAGGGGAGAGAGGTGCCTGAGTCCCTGTGGCCTCTGAGACATTCCCACCCAGGTCACGGCAAGGCTGGACAGAGGAGCAGTTCCTACTTCTGGAAGTACCCTCCTACGAGCATCGCCCACTTTGTTCCCTGCTGTATCCGTAATCTGGACGGCAGACCGTCACAGCTGGAAGGATTCTTGGAAATAATTAATCAAATCCCTCAGGGTCCAGAGAGGAACAGGAACATGTCCCAAACCACACAGCGTGCAGAATCGGCCCTGGAACCCAGGAACCCTGCCTTCCCTACTGTTAATTCCTCTTGGGACACATTCTTCAGTCCCTCAGAGCCTAGCTTCAGTCTTGCTGCTGCCTTCCCTGGCTCCCAGCCTCCCATAAGCCCTTCCTCCACCCCCAGGAAACCCTCCCTGCTACATCTGGTACAGCTACTGGTACCCAGCCCAAATCCCCCTGACCTGGCAGGGGCACCCAACCTCCAGCTGCTCAGGCTCCCAGCTGCCCCCTGCTCCAGAGAACTGCCTCTGCTGAAGGGACACCAGGTGCCAAGGTACCTGCCTCAAGGTAGGAAGACTGCCATGGGTTTATGTTCCACAGCCCTCTGTGGATAGGTCAAGGCTACATTCGGCTAATCCGCAGCCCCGCTGGACGTGCTTGCCCCTGCCCTCTGCTGCTTCCATCTCCCCCACCCCAGCAACCCCGAAATCACCTGCACCTGAATCCTGCCTCAGGCCCCACTGCCTCCAGGAAACCTGACCTTGGATGCTCCTCGGCCAACAGCCTCACCTCCTCCACCTCCACCTCAGCCTCTGCCGCCAGCGCTGCCTCCTTCCGTGCCTTCTTCTTGGCCCCGGCCTTGGTCAGCCCACGGGCCTCGGTCTTGCGGGCCTTGGCCTTGGGCTCAGCTTTGGGGACGATGGGCTTGGGCTCCAGCTTGGCGGGGCTCCCGGGCGCGGGGCCTCGGAGCGCGGGGGCCTGCATCGGGGCAGTGGCCGGGGACGAGGGCGCGGTGGCCGGGGACGAGGGCGCGGTAGACGGAGACGAGGGCGCGGAGTCCGGCTCGGGCTCATCCTCGAAGGGCGGCGGCGCAGGCGGCGCGGTGCGCACAGCGTAGCTGTGGTAGCCCCGGTAAAGCGCCACCTCGGGCTCCTGCGACGGCGTGGGCGGCGGCGACGCGGGCGGCGCCTGCAGTGCCTCGATGGCCATGTGCTCGGTGGCCGGGCGCGCCGGGCTGCGGCGACCCGCGCCCTCGGACGGCGTGGCCGGCCGGCTGCCCTCGCCGCCGGGCTCACCGTTCCAGGCGCCCGGGCCCAGCAGGCCGTCCTTGGACGCCCCGGGCCGGGGCCGCTTGGGCTGCGGGGGCGTCCCGGCCGGCGACGGGGGCCCACCCTGGGGCCGAGGGGTCTCGCGCTCGTGCAGCTGTGGGCTCTCGCGGGGTCGCTCCGGGAGGCCCGCGGCGCCCCGCTCGGGGGGCTCCAGCAGGCTCTCCGAGTTCTCCAGGATCTCCTGGAGCAGCCGGCGCTTCTGGTATTCAGGACCTGCCAGGGACAAGGCAGGGAGGCTGGATGAACCCCGCCCCCTGCTGGTGATCCTGGGCGAGCCACCTAACCTCTCTGAGCCTCATTCACTCAGCACTTACATAGCACGGACCAAGTGCCAGGCACTGTTCTAAGCAATTTCCAAATATTAACTCATTTAATCATTTTAGTAACCCTATGAAGTTGATGTTATTGTGAACTTCCATTTTATAGATGAAGAAGGGGAGGTTCAGAGAGGTTAAATCACTTGCCCAAGGTCACGCAGCTGGCAAAGGGCAGAGCCAGGGCTAGCACCCAGGCAGTCTGGTTCTTGGTGATCCTGTCAACTGTGACACTGGTCTCTTTCCATTCCCTTATCTGAGAAGTGGGTCTAATCATACCCATTTCATAAATACTACTGGAAGGATTAATTGAGAAAATGCATGTAAAATGCTGAGCTCACTGCCTGGCACAAGCACAGTTACAGCTGTTGCTGTGAACACACAAGGCAGAGGCAGCCAGCTAGTGTCGCTCTTTCGGTACCAGCAGGGGGAGAACTGTGACCAGAAGTGACTGATCCTCCCAGGCACAGATCTGTGCTCCTGGGTTTTCCATCTAGTTTCCTTTGGTCTCCTTTCTGCAGCCATAATAATGTTTAGAGAACAAAATCTAATCATGTCACTCCTTCACTGCAGAGAACGCCAATTTCCTGCCCTCAGGGGCTCCCTGCCCTATCATGCGCAAAGTCTGTATCACAGCCCGGAGGGCCTCCTCACTCTCACCACCCACTGCCTATTTTATGATCTGGCCTCCCGCCATGCCACTCTGTTCCAAGTTTCTGTGCTTTGTACCTGCAGTCCCCTCCTTTCGATTTACCTGTCCCACTCAGCACTACCTGATGCCATAGTTCTCAAAGTGTGGTCCCAGCCTGGCAGCATCCGCATCACCTGATCCTTAGAAATGCACATACATGGCTCCACCCCTGACCTACTGAATCAGAAACTCTGCGGGTGGGCCCAGAAATCCGTGTCCGGTTTGAGATCGACTGACTTGATAAACTCTTGTTCAGCCTTCAAGATTCAGCTCAAATGGCCTCTTCCCAGGGCAGCCTTCCCTAACACCTCCCCTTGCCTAAAAGGGTCAATTGCTTCCTGTGAGCTCCCACCGTCCCTGTCCTAACCGCACAGCACTCATCCTGCTGTGTGAAACTTAACCATAACAGTGAGACAATAGCCACAGTCATTGACAGCTTACTGTGGACTGGGCACGCACCTTACATGCATTTAATCCATTCACAAAAAAGTAGGCATTATTCTTGCTCCCATTTTACAGATCAGGAAACTGAGGTTTCCGGAGGTTAAAGACCTTACGGGTCTCACAGCTGGTAAGCAGTGGAGTTAGCATTTAAATGAACACAATCCATTTGCATCTCCCCAACTATGTTGTCTTCATGACTTTCTGCTCCTCTAGATTTGGAACCCCACTTATGTGTCCCCAGAGCCCACACAGTGCCTGACACATGGACAGTGCTCAATTAATGCTTGACTAAAACTGCCGAGCAAGTACAAGAAGCCCTCTGCTCCCTCATCCACCAGTGACCTCTCCTCACTAAGCTTCACTAGATCCAGCTATCTGCCCTGCTCAGAGCAGAGAGAAGAGACAACCTGCAGTGCCTCTGCCACCCCGACCAGGAGCTTTGCAGGAAGGCAGCCGCATCTCTCCACATCCCCTTGCGTCATCCCCTCCCACATTTAGGGGATATCCCACCATGCCCCACAGTTTCCAAAACTCACAGGCATTCATGAACCCACCTGGGCATCTCAGCTTCCAGCAGGCAAAGAAAATTCCCACCCCAGGGACTGCCCCCAGCCTGTCCTGCCCATCCCTCCCTGGCTGCCCCTACCTGGCTGGTAGAAGTCCGGAGCCAGCTCCCTGGCTAAAGTGCGGGCAATGTTGGACTCCTGGTTGGCGGCCAGGGCGGCCTGTTCTGAAGCTTCAGCTTTGGCCTTGGCGTGGCTTGTCCTAAGGAGACAACATGGTGGGAAGCTGAGGATCCCTCTAGAGAACCAGCCTTCTGCCCCTTCTCCCCAACCCACAAAGAGACATCCTGGGCAGAGAGATTAGTTACTCAGGCTCTCAACGAATATTTATTGGTGCTGTACATTCCCCAGACCATTTCCTCTTCTTACTGGGCACATAGACTACATTTCCCAGCCTCCCTTGCAGTTAGGTGTAGTCAGGTGACTAAGTTCTGCAGTGCATTGTGGGAAGACATAATATATTATATACTATTTCCAGGCCTGGCCCATAAAAACCTCTATGCCTTCTCTTTTTCCCCCCATTGCTGATTGAATGCAGAGGGAGACGATGCCTCAGAACAGGGTGGTACTTAACCTCTTTTGTGTCACAGATCTCTTTGGCAGTCTGGTAAGGCCTATGGTCCCCTTCTCAGAATAATGTTTTAAAAATGCATAAAATATATGGAATTACAAATGGATGCAGTTACACAGTGCAGTCACACACTGTTACCAAAATATTTTAAAAGGACAAATTTGTAATAATAATCTGTCATTTATTAACACATCAAACAAAATACCATCAAATCTAATAACTACTGTAATTTAAAAGTATAGATTAGCATAAAGGATATTTTAAGGATATCTGCAACAGCAGTAATGTGACACGAAAATATATGTGATTCCTATATATGTATTGGTGACAAAGTCACAGATACTACTAATGCTACTATGATTTATTGCCTACTTCCATGATTGAAGAAAATGCTAAATTTCAGTTGGAGGTTAGTAAAAATAGAGATGTAGCTTTTGCCATCCGTAGCAGACACTTTTGGTGCCCTACCCAGATCCTTTTACCAAGCAAATGTGCCCACCCCCTAGCTGCGGTGAGTGTTGGCTGCTAATGGCTCATTGCTACCCCAGAGAATTGCAAGCAGCTTGTTCCAGAAATTAAAATACTGCCCCACCCACCTCCCACCCAGGCAACCCACACTAATGTTTTTTCCCAAGAGGAAAGAACTGCAACCGCAGTAGGTACGATTCATTCTCCAGAGCCCCTGGTGGGTCAGACCACATCCTCACTCAGCTCTTCCCTATCCCACCCTGCTTCTTTCACTCCCCTCTCTCCTCAATAAATCACTTGCACAAGAATCCCCATCTCAGGCTCTGCTTCTAGGGAATCTAAACTAAAACACCACCCAAGTTCACGGGCCCCCAAATTCTATCCACAGAAGCTCCTGTTGGACTCCAAGTTAAGCAATGCAGTGGAAGGAACCTCAGCCCATAAATGATTGCAGAGAGCAAAGCCCCCCTTCCACAGTCCCCCGATTGAATGTGATATAAGCAAATCTTAAGCCTTGATTGCAGTAAGTACCTGAGATTTGGGAGATGTCTGTTTCAGCTGTCAGTCTAGCCTAACAGTCTATATTACCTACGATAATAATAACAGTCCTGTTCCAAATGGGTCAGGCGTGGTTCTAAAGGAGTTAGGAAGATTGTCTCATATAATCATCCTAATGCCTTAGGAAGCTGGTGCTGTTATTATTATCCCTATTTTACAGAAAAGGAAACTGAGGCACGAACAGATCAAGTAACTTGCCCAAGGCCACAGAGTCATAAAGCACAAAAGCTGGGATTCTGACCCAGGCAACAGGACTCCAGAACTTGTGCACTCGAGTGCTATTCTAGAGCATGCTCTGGGAGCTTGGCCAGGAGCCCAGGACAGAGACTCCTGTGGACCAGTCAGGCCAGCTCCTGCCCTCACTGTCGGGTGAGGGAGCTGGATAGTAAACAAACCTGAAAATGCAATTAATAAAAAGTACTTAATTACAATTGTGAAATGTGCCATGAAGGAAGAGTATAGAACACAGTGGAAATGCAGAATAGAAAGACCTAATACAGACTGGTGGTGCAGGTGGCTGGTCAGGGAAGGTTTCCTTCAGGATGTGATATTTAAGTTGAGACTTGAAGAAACACATACATTAGGCCCATAAGAGGTGGGTGGGGACAGTGAGCCAGGTAGACAGAAAAGCATGTGCAAGAGATGGGGCGAGAGCTTGGTGCCCTTGGGGAACTGCAAGGTCAGGTCAGAATGTCCACTCTCTGCAGATGAGTTAATTTCTCAGGGAGGTGATGTGTACATCTCTTTATCCCAGTCTCCAGCACAGAAGTGGGCCCACAGTAAGAGAGAGAGATTTCCTTACGTTCCTACTACATTCCAGGCCTTTTATCTATTCCTTACAATCCTCAAAACTGCTCGTGAGGTAGTTTTTACCTGGTTCTACTTCACAGGTGGGGAAACTGAGGCTCAGGGAGGTATCTTGCTACAGGATGCACAATAGTTAACATTTACACAGCACTGACTATATGCTGAGTGCTTTACGGAAACTAACTCATTTAAGATGTTATTACCATCGTCCCTCTTTGCAGAGGAGAAACCTGAGGCACACGAAGGTTTCAAAGACTCCACTTAAATGCACACAGCTAGTAAGTAACAGAGTCAGGATTCAAACCAAGGCATTCTGGAGTCTAGGGTCTGTCCCCGAACCACAGGCTCGACTCGCACTCAGTAATGAGTAGTGGAGTAAGCTTTCAAACCCAGAGCTGTCCTCTCCACCACGCCACACTGCCAGGTGAGCGAATGCACAAATGCACGCACGCACGCAGGTGCGCACCTGTGCATGGGCAAGGAGGCAGCCCAGAGAAGAGTTAAGAGCGCGGCTTTGAAATCACCGGCCCTCGATTCCAATTTTGGCTCTGCCAAGGCTGGGGATAGAGTGAGACGACTGAGGCGCTCGCCTCAGGCGCAAAATATACAGGGATGCCAAAAAAACTCAGTGATCCAGCTGAAGCATACTTCAGTGCAATACCTTTAAAAGTCAGAATTAATGCAAAAAAAATCCTTGATGAACAAACTATGAAGAAGATTTTAAAGAAAGACTGGATTGGACCCTGCACTTGAATCCCTCCCTCACTCACCTCACCCTGGTCCCAACCCCACTGGGACGCTAGGACCTTGGGTGCACGGCTTTGCCTCGCTGGGCCTCAGTTTCTTCACCTGTAAAGTGGAGATAATAATTCTCCCCTCCTGAAGTTGCCGTGACGACAAAATGCGAGGCAGCACGTGGAAGTGTCTAGCCCAGATGATGATGGTGGTGATGATGATGGTGGTGGTGATGGTGATGGTGAAACAGGAGCAGGAGGAGGCGAAGAATGACATTTGTACGTTAAAACCGAGTGTGGGACATGCATATCCCAGGCTCATTTTTGCCTGCGCACAGGTGTGTGTGAGATAAAGTCCTAAACTTCTTAGAGCCACTTCCCTGGGAACCTGAAACCCCAGGTGGGGGGAGGAGGGAAAGGGCTGGCAAACCTTCGAACTGAGAAAATGTCCTTTTTTGGTCATGTGAGCTGAATGCCGCTCATTTTCTGCTGCCTTCCGAAGCTGTGTGTGGGTCTCCTCAGGCGGGAATGACAGCCTCCCCTCAGAGCCCTGGAAGATTCTGGGGTTCAACTGTGGACCCTCCAGGACAGCCAGAACAGGGGTCGAGTGGGGGTGGCCACCTGGCCCAGGTGATGCGTGTGGGAAGGAGGCGCCTCTGCCAGCCCCATAGGCCTGGACGACTGAGCCCGTATCAGCCCTTCTCCCCTCGCCCACTCGGTCTCAGGAACAGCCCCCAGCTCCCGGCCTTCGGGCCAGGAACCCCAGTGTTCTTCCACACCCTCCCTCCCGTCTCCTTCAGCGTCCACAGCCAATCAGTCACCAGCTCCTGCCTCTCCTGCTCCCTTTATAGCTCTTGGATCTGCCGTCTCCCCACCCCTCTGCCATTCCTCCTGCAAAGCCCCGCATGTGTCCTGTCCCTGGCTGCAGGCTCACTCCTGCAGCCGTTCCCGCACACGGGGCACAGTGAGCTTGCTTAACCCACACCCCAGGTGGCCTCACCTCTTGCTTAAAATCTTTGCAAGGCTTCCTACTGTGCTCAAAATAAAGTGCCAATCACAGGGCCTGGCCCGCAGGGCTCTCCAGACCCGCAGATCAAGGCAGCTTCGATGGAGCCGGGACGCGGTGTACCAGGCGGCTCACAGGGGAAGGGCAGGCTGAATCGCTGTGGCCCAGAGGCCACCACTTCTAGGCAGGTGCCACTCACAGCATCCCCCACCCCCACATCCTTATCACTTGGGAACCCATTAGAAATGCAGATTCTCAGGCTCTACCCCAGACCTACTGAATCAGAATTTGAGGGGAACGAGTCCAGGAATCTGTGTTTGATGAGCCCTCCAAATGCACCCGCTACTCACTGAGGTTCGAGAAGCGTGTGTTCTGCAGACAGAAAATTCAGCGCCATCTTGGGCTGTTCCTGCCTGCTGAATCCCCACCCCCTACCCGACCCAGGAGCCTTGGATGTTTTTCTTTGAGTACCTGGTGTCCCTCCTGCCGTCAAGGCCCAGCTAGGGAAATGCAGGAACCATTCCTGTTCCTCCGACCTCTCCCCATTTCCCTGCTGATGCCTCTGGGTGAAGGTGTTGAGGGGGGCTCTGACCTTGCCGGGGAGAAGGGAAGGGAGCAGTCACTGGGGCCCGGAGAGGGACAAGGAGGCAGCACTCTTCTTGATTTCATCTGGATTAACTTTTGTCAGCAGGGTTAAAAATAAGGCTGGTGGCTCTGGGATAGGGGCAGGGCTGTCACCCGACAGAACCACTTCTGAGAGCACCCACCCCCACCCTGGCCTGCTTTCCCCACCCCTAGGCCCCCAACTGCTTGGTGATGGCCCAGCCTTGTTTCCCGGTTGTCTCCAGCAGGCATTGGTGGCTTTGTGGAGCCATTCATGTGGCTCTTGTTCAGGCTGTTCTGCTCCTGCCACGCCCCTGCCCTTAAAGGACCAGCCCAAGACCCACTTCTACACACTGGTTCGCTCACCGAATACAACTTTACAGAGTGCCTGCTGTGCACTAGGCACTGTTCTGAGCGCTGTGGACACAGAAGCAAACCAAACACCCAAAAACCCC